ACCTCCTTAGCGATCAGGGAAATGCAAATCAAAACCACTTTGAGATACCATCTTACACCTGTCAGAATAGCTAAAGTCAAAAACACCAACGATAGCCTATGCTGGAGAGGATGTGGGGTGAGGGGAACACTCATCCATTGTTGGTGGGAATGCAAACTCGTGCAGCCACTGTGGAAATCAGTGTGGCGGTTTCTCAGGAAACTGGGAGTCAACCTCCCTCAGGACCCAGCAATTCCACTCTTGGGAATATACCCTAAAGATTCCCTAACATACTACAAAAGCATTTGTTCTACTATGTTCATAGCAGCACTATTTGTAATAGCCAGAACCTGGAAACAGCCTAGGTGCCCCTCAATAGAAGAATGGTTAAAAAAGGTGTGGAACATATACACATTAGAGTTTTACTCAGCGGTAAAAAACAATGACATCTTGAATTTTGCATGCAAATGGATGGAAATAGAAAACGCTTTACTGAGTGAGGTGAGCCAGACCCAAAAAGAGGAACACGGTATGTATTCACTCATTAGTGGATTCTAACCATAATTAAAGGTCTTTGAGCCTATTATTCGTGATCCTAGAGAAGCTAAATAAGAAGATGAACCTGATGAAGATTATTTACCTATCCACCAGGAGGTAGGAAATAGACAAGAGTCCCAGGTAACCTCGGGTGCATGGGGGGGTGGGAGGGTTGATGGAAGGGGAGAGGGTTAGAGAGAAGGGAGTAGGGGAGGAATGGGGAAAGCTCGTTGGCCTGGGATGGGGGGGAGGGAGGGAGGATGAATATGGGATCAGGGAAGAATATTTTTCAACTAAGGGAGTCATTTTAGGGTTTACAGGAGACTTGATTATATATGGGATCCCAGGTCCAAGGAGAGATCCCCCAGATTGTTCTCTGGACAGAGGAGAGGGTGCCTGAATCGGCCGTGGCCCATAACCATACTGATGTATATTTTGTTTGTCACCATAGATCCTTCATCTGGCGAAGGACGGCGATAAAGTCGGAAACCCACATTGGAGCACCGGACTGAGCCCCTCGAGGTCCAAATGAGGAACAGAAGGAGGAAGAACATGAAAAACGAAATCAGTACTGCGAGGGATGCTATCACCCACTGATACAATGGAACGGATCTAATGAGAGTTTACCAAGGCCAGTTGGACTGGGACTGAACGAGGAAGTGATATAACCAGATTCTCGGAATTTGACCGGATTCTCTGAATGTGGCTGGCCCGGAGTCTTTCTGAAAAGCCATTGACTATGACACTGGGACCTGTTTCCTCTACATATTCTGGATTTTGGGGATCAAGTCAGTTTGGACACTCACCTCCTGGACCTGGAGGGGGGGGGAGGAACTTGAACTTCCCACAGGGCAGGAAACCCTGACTGCCCTAAGGGATGAAGAGGGAGGAGGAGAGGGAGTGGGGGGAGTGGGAGGGTGTTGGGAAGAGGGGCGGAAATGGAAACTTTTATAATTTAATAAAACTTACTTAAAAAAAAATAAAAAAAAATAAAAAAAATAAAAAAAAAATAAATAAAATTTCTGAAAAGTCTGTAAGTACAAGAGTAATGTCATATTTATTGTTAATATAAACTTATCCTGTTTCTGGATTCTTCACACATTTGTAGATCCATTCATTCCCCTATAATGCCACAAGAAAAATTCCCAGAACACTGCTTAAACTTACCTGTTCCAAGTTTATCTATAAAATTACTTTTACCCAATATGTATTTTCTCTCAATTTGTATACTATAAAAGATATTCAATAAACCAGCCCCAAACTTCATCCAATTACTGTACTCACACAGTCTCTGTTAAATGGAGAAAGAGCACACTCTCAAAAAGCTTATGGAACTGGCCAGTGCTACTACATGCTCTCCCTTTCCCATAAAAAGTACCATTTCCAAGGAAAAGAGCAAGTGCGAAAGAAGCTGAAGAATCACAGAATGTTGTCAGCACACTCTGAGCATCTGGGACAACTCCTGTAAAACTCTCAAACACAAAGGCATGCTCCGAGACGACAGCAACCTTAGTGCTCTATATGACCTTGACCATTGCATGTCATTTGAGCATAGCACATTCTCCCAGTTAGGTAAACCACTGGTTAAAATATAAATAATATGGACAAATCTATATGTTTCTCTTAAAATACATATTTCCCTCTATCTCAATCCCTATGACAAATTGGGGAAGCTCTTCAGATCCTAGCAGGAGAAAAAGTCTATCCTACAGACACAAACACCAAGAATCAATTGTGACATAAAAAGACAGCTCATCACCTAAATGGTGAACAATCTGAGGAAGTGAATCATCTGATCAAGAGAGAGTTTTAAAGACTAAAACCCAGTAAAAACCTTACTTGAAGACCATTTTTCACCACTATGGTGTTTCGTGTTTAGAAATAGACAAAAATGTGATACTTACATGAAAGAAAACTCAGGTTGTCAGACTTGGTGACAAGTGTTTTTATCTAGTCATCTGGCTGGGCCAGTGAAAATGTCTGGAGAGAGTTAAGTTATATCACAGCTAGCTATCCATAACAATGAGTTCAAGAAAGTCAATGAAATTCGTAGCATGCTTGTAACCACTTCTGCAGCATTAAAATGATAGCATCTATGGCCACAGGAGTCAGGGGTGGGGTTACAAGGAGAACTGGGGATAGAAAGCACCAATATGTTAGGGATGTATTGTGGATACTAAAGTGATATTCCTGAACTGATAGATATTACCATTCCTTAGTGGTCGGGGCACAAAAGAACAAGTAGAATCTGAAAACTGTTCAGTCTTTCAAAGATGTCACCAACTTCTTGTCAGGAAGCCATAAATAAAAAAATCTAAGAAACCCAGGACCAAAGACCCCATGATTCAGGCTTTTGTTATCCAAGTGTCCTACAGCATAAATGCCAACCTATTCCTTTGAAGGAACAACACACTAAGACAGTAAGAGGAGGCTGCAGAATATGCTAAACTTTTGGCCAAAAGAATTAAAGAAGCCAGGAACAGATCGTCAAGAGATGTAGGCTGTCCTCACTGAGAGTTTGCATGATGCTGTAACTGCAAATGCTGCCAACTACGCACACTGTTCTACCTGTAGGTGTACAAAGTTAGAAAGCCTCCTTTGTTATTTGCTATACTGCTTATGCTTCTAACACTAAAGCTACGAATCAAGTAGGTAATGATTATCAGTGGGAAAGTTGGGGGGATGGAAAGGAAATGAAGAAAGGGAACAAACTGGCAATTAATGTAAATTTTTTTTTTTTTTTGGTGTTCTCGAGACAGGTTTCTCTGTAGCTTTGGAGCCTGTCCTGGAACTAGCTCTTGTAGACCAGGGTGGCCTCGAACTCACAGAGATCCGCTTGCCTCTGCCTTCCAAATGCTGGGATTAAAAGGTGTGCGCCACCACCACCCGGACGAGGATTTCTGCTTCTATGTCTCAGACCAGTCAAAAGTAAGAGCACTGGGGCTGGAGATATGGCTCAGCAGTTAAGAGGACTGGCTGCTAATCCAGAGGACCCAGGTTCGATTTCCAGCATAGCAGCTAACAATGATCCCTTTTCTGACCTCTGCAGACATTTTGTGAATGCAATGCATAGACTGACACGCAGGCAAAACACCCATCTACATAAAAAAGTAATAAAAATGTGTCATTAAGAGTAACATATGAGAGCTGGCGAGATGGCTCAGTGGTTAAGAGCACTGGCTGCTCTTCCAGAGGTCCTGAGTTCAATTCCCAGCAAACACACGTTAGCTCACAACCATCAGTAATGAGATCTGGCACCCTCTTCTGGCATGCAGGCATACATGGAAGCAGAATGTTGTCTATATAATAAATCTTTTTTTAAAAAAAGAGTAACAAATGAATGGTCAGGCCTTTAAAATATAGCATCTATCTACACAACTGATTTGTATTTTTAATGGAGCACAAGTATATGGTTTTTCTCATAGTCTTATTATTGCACATGCATGTCCATCCACGGAAAGGCCACAAAACAACCTTGGGTCTTTTCCTCAGGAAGGCCATCCATTTACTTTGAGGTAAGAGTCTCCCATTGATCTGAAACTCACCTATCAAGCTAGACTAGCCAGCCAGTTAGCCTCAGGGATCCTTCAGTCTCCAGCTCCCTAGAATTAAAAGCACACACCACTACACCCAGTATTTTAATGTGGATTCTGTGAATTGAACTCAAGTCCTCACGTTTACTCACTGAGTATCTCTACACCCCATAATCTTAATGTCTTTTTTTGTTGTTTGTTTTGGTTTATTTAAGACACAGTCTCTCTCTATATATATAGCCCTGGATGTACTGAAACTCTCTGGGTGGAGACAAGGCTGGCCTTGAATTTAAAGAGATTCACCTCCCCCGCCCCAGGGTGCTGGGATTAAAGGCGTCAGCAACCACCCTCACCTACTAAGGTCTACTGTAAAACCCTCAGCTACTGAAGTCTGCTGGAGTCCCAAGGTCAAATTACTGGCCAAGCATTTAAACAGCAGCATTAACTCTTCATTTATTCTACTTCACAGAACTGTAGCAGAGTATAAAAATGAAATGTATGACTTTTAAAATATATTTCTTATGATGTACACTTAAAAATGCTGCATAACAAATATGTTTTATTGTAAGGCTCATAAAATAATAAATAAATAAATTGATTAATTTATTAAAAGGTATAGTTAAGTAACCTAAAGCAGTTACTGCTTTAGTTGATAAAAGTTCCATTTTTGATTCTTGAATCATTTCGAAGACATCAGAGTAGGCCTAATCATTTATATTAATATATTAAAAGTATTTCCTAACAATGTTATACTAAAAGTATAATGCAGGTTCAAAAAGAAAAGGTAAATAACCTGGTGTCATCAACCTCACTTCTGCTAGATTGAACAACATATCCTGAAGCAGGGCTTTACTAGGTGAGCAACTTAGTACTAACAGAGACGCCAAGTTTCACTATGAAGAAAAGTCACTTGGGAACTAAGTAGAAGCAAAATGTAACAAATATACTTACTCCCTTTGGAAAGCCATGCACAGAGGGGAACTGAATCCAAAGACCAAGCACATCTGCGCATCTGGGCTGTAACCATTCTGCAGCAAAGTTTCCAGGCACTCTTCCCGTCCTCCAAACACTGCTGAGTAAACAGGGCTCACTTTGTCTGGACCAGTGTCACAAGCCCGGTTGGTAAGTGGTATTAACAAGTCCAAGATCCTGCAAATACACAAACAGGAGGAACATTTTCTATAGTAACTTTGTCTGTTGTCCTTGTTCACTATTATTTGTCTTACCACCATCATTACCTATGCTCCCAAATCCATAGGTTTAGTATTTCAGAGCATAATAAATAATCAAAATACTTATTACATTAAATATAAAGTAGCTGGGATATTGCCCAGAGATAGAATGCCTGCCTACTATGCTGGAGGCACTGGGTTCAGTTCCCAGCACTGGGGATTGTATAATGACCAGTTGTGATAACACATGCCTAGAAGTCAGCAGTCAGAGGTTGAAACAGTATAGTCATGAGTTCAAGGCCTGCCACAGCTGCATAACAAGTTCCAGGAGTCAGAGCTACCTTGCAAGGTTCTGTTTCACAAACAAACAAATAATAACAAAAAAATAAAATGAAGTATTTTCCTTCTTAAACACTAATTGGTTTTGTTTCCCATTAGTAAGAATTTTTTTTTTTTTGGTTTTTTAAAGACAGGGTTTCTCTGTGTAATAGTACTAGCTGTCCTGGAACTAGCCCTTGTAGAGATCCACAGAGATCCACCTGCCTCTGCCTCCCAAGTGCTGGGATTAAAGGTGTGCGCCATCACCGCCTGGCCCATTAGTAAGAATTTTTAAAGATGGTGAGTGGCAATGAAATGAGAAATTACATTTTTAATCAGAAGAAATTAAAATTTATAGTAAAATATTACACGCACAGAAAAATTGCAATCATTAACATTTGAGGTATATCAATACATGAGTGGCTGCTTTTCCTGCCACAAAAAAGCTAAAATGACACTGGAGGACACTAGACCACAGCTGGACCCTCTGTAAAGCAAGTCTGGATGAGATCAGTGGCAGGAGAATTCTCGAAGTTGGGCACAATTAAGGACAAATTCCTAGGAGAGCTTTGGTATCAATTTAAAGCTGAATATAACTATTAAAAGATTTTTCTAAATAAATCATGAACAATTAGAGAAAATGAACCTAACCATTTTTTGTAATGGACACAAAATTGGGTGTAGACCTGGGAAAAGCTGGAGGAGTGTGAATGTGTTCCAAAGAACTGGTAATAAATTTTAAAAAGCAAGTAGAAGAAATATCAAATGTTGAAACCAAGTATTTTATTAAAAGAATCGGCATGACACCTCTTATACATAATAAATGTGTCTCAGTTTTAAAGATGGGCTAGAAAAAGCACCCTGTCACAAGGCTTTCAGAGATCTGTAAGGACACGTGCTACCTCGGAACAAAATAGCCAGTTTGTGGACTCCATCTTCCTACTGTCCAAAGGTAATGACTGTTCTGTTATTCTTAACTGAACAACAGTTATGACAGCTATAGAAAGTACAATTATGACCCTAAAGACCGTAAACATGATTTTTAAATCTGTCCATACTGATTTATGGAAGAGAGCCTTATTTTTATTGACATAAGCAGGTCACTACACATTTCTATACTCCCAAATATACTCTCTCCAAAATATGCTAAAAATTTTCTAGGGACTTTTAGCAAAGAAAGAGTTCCAAGCTGGGCGGTGGTGGCGCACGCCTTTAATCCCAGCACTCAGGAGGCAGAGACAGGCAGATCTTTGTGAGTTCAAGACCAGCCTGGTCTACAAGAGCTAGTTCCAGGACAGGCTCCAAAGCCACAGAGAAACCCTGTCTCGAAAAAAACAAAAACAAAACAAAACAAAACAAAAAAAGAGTTCCAGAAGCAGGAGGCAATACCAGACTGGAGGTGAGATTAGGTAATAAATCTAATCAAATGGTTTAGGATGGGATGGACTACTCATCACACATAAAAGCTTCCTACAGGGAGATAGTAAATATCAGTACGGCCATCATACGGCTAGCTGAAGATGTGTGGGGGTAAAGGCAGGAGGAAAGGGATAAAGGACTGTCATTAGCTGAAGAAAACCTGAGAAAGGTCCAGGACTTACTCCATCTCTACATCTTCTTCCTCAAAGTGGGAAAATGAAAACTCCAGAGGATCTGAGGAAGAAATCTAGGCATCCCACAAACTGGTTACAGAAAGGAAGGACCAAGGATTGACCTGGAGGTAAAGGTGTGACCCAGATCTACCCTTAAATTGCTTTTAATTCAGAGAGCATTTTTATTCCACTTTGCCTACTTACTTTGTGTGGCCCATTTGTGCAGCAGCATGAATAGGCAATTGCCAATTGTCTTCATTACAGTAAAGATCAGGATCTGCCCCACCGGAGAGCAAAAGTTCCACACATTTTATATGACCCTCCTGTGCAGCAATAAACAATGGAGTAGCTTTGTCCAAGGCTTGACAATTGATATTTGCACCTAACACAAAACAAAATATTAAATAATCCTCACAGGTGGTTTAAAAAATACGATAACACAAATCTCAAACTGCCATAAAAAGCTTTCACAGAACAGCAGCTTCCACCCTTAGTGGACATTGTTGGAAAAAATATACGTATTTTACTAACCTGTTGTCAATCATTTAAATTGTTTTCAGTCTCCATCAGTAAGAGCATAAATGATCATTCATATTTTAGAATTCACTTTTAGACAAAAAAAACCCATATTCCATGAAGGGTATTTATTCAAATCCCTCATCCAACAAATACTTTGGTTTCAAAGTACAGATAGCTTTTAAAGATTTATTTCAATGTGTATTCATGATTTGTGTATATGTGTGTTTGTGTATGTGTATACATATCTGTGCATGCAAGTATCCATGAAGGCCAGAAGGTTGCATAGGATCCCTTTGGAGCTGGAGTTCATAAATAGTTAGCCTACCTAACACGGGTGCCAGATCTGAATTCCACCCATCTGCAGGGCAGCACATGCTCTTAGCCACTGAGCCTTCTCTCAAGCCCAAAGTATAAAGATTTTAAAGGAAAAGAAGCTAGATGTAGTGATAAAGGCCTACAATTCCAGTTCTTGGGAGTCTGAGAAAAGAGCATTACAAGTTGGAGGCTAGCCTGTCTTAAATTATGACACTTATGGATGTCACCAACTGATTTTAGACTAAGATTTAAGAGGGAATTTACCAGTAGATATGGCTGATATACATGGGATCTATGACTAAAACTATATTAATTAGTCTTATTACTACTTTTCTTCCTTTATGAGTATTGTATAGCAAAACCAACAATAAATGGGAACAATATTTTTTAATGGATCTGAGCAGATTTTAAAATAAAACTGTTATTTTCATACTACTATATTCAGATTTGAAAAGGCGGTCAGACACAGTGGTGCATGCCTGTAAGCTCAGTGCTTGGGAGGCAGAGACAGCAGTTTTCTGTGAGTTAAAGGTCGGCTTGGTCAACATAATGAGTTTCAGGACAGCCAAAACTACATAGGAAGAACCTGTTTCCATAAATAAAAAACATATAAACAAAGATTTGGAATGGCTAAAAATGACTTTACTTATGAAACTTTTGAAAAATAGCAGGTTACCCTTATCACCAGCAAATAATATATTAAACCTACTAAGATGATGCCACAGGGCGATCGGTAATGAAAAGTCCCCAAACTATCTTACAAAAGATACAGCTTTAATAAAACAGAAGGAAAAACTTATACAGAGTTCCACTCGTCTGGAACGCTGTATCCAGGCAGGTCGAGAGGGAGAGAGAGAGGGCGGGGGCTTTCACTCGCCAGGTTTATAGGTAAACTTTTGCCTTAGGGCGACATGCCCCACGAACAGAATGTGATTGGCTGAACTCCCCTATCATCTCCCCCTTTTTTCTAAAATAAGACAGAACCAAACCAAATACAACTATATACAATAGAAGCAAATAATAAATATAAAGTTACAAACAACAAACAATATTAAGCAAGAAACATATAACAAAAGTTTTACTAAACATTCTATTTCAGGGAGTCTAAATAATGTAGATGGTAACTACAACTATCTAATCTTCAACTCCATCAAAGATCTGAGAAGGAAAATAATTTTACTCAAGCAGCCCGGAAGTACAAGCGGGAAACTTCCGAAATGTGCAACGAATGGAAGAGACAACTGAATACCTGGGCAATCACCCAAAGTCTCGTTTGAAATGTTGAGTCAACCAACTTTGGCTAAGGCCTGATGTAACTGACATGCCATTTTTTAAAGGCAAGAAACCTTTTAGGACTCTCTCATCCTGTCTTGGCAAGATAAGACAATCCTGCTTTTATCCATTTACGGATATTCTGTAATTTTGTCAGTGGTCGAGGTATGGGCTTTTTCTTTGCCCAAAGGCCAGTTCTGCCAGGAAGAAGACAAGCTCCAAGTGGAGTGTCTTTGGTGTTCAACGTTCTCTCGGGAGTAGAGCGATGATGCCAGGAGCGATTGTGTCTCACTACTACAGAACTCTGAGTTAGATTAAAGGCCATTTTCTACAGCTCTTCGAAGAGGTTGAAGATTATACTATCTATACTAAGTATGATCTCTATGCACCTAAATAACCTGATTAGCCTAAATAAAAAATATAACAAACATATATGATTATTGATTTCTATCTATCTAACTTGAAGACTAAGAGAATGAACAATTGCGCAATGAGTGAGGACAATGACCTCCAAATGTAAGCAATGTGTATCATTACATAAATATCTTAATCAGAGGTAGTATGCCCCACGAACAGAATGTGATTGGCTGAACTCCCCCATCACTAAGACATATTATCACATGATAGGGATAATTTTTAAATTTCTCTAATACATCTCAGTATCAATACCATAAAACATAGGGGAAAACTGACTATCTTACTCAAAATAATCTTACATAAGTACATCTTAAACAAGCTACACAGGGTAAATTAAACTCGGTGTTGAACCTTCATGAGCTGCAAACATGCTAGCCAACTAGAATCGTCATGGTTTTGGTGCCTCATCTGCTGTCAGCTTCAGAGACATAAACACAATCACTGAGAAAAAAGGAAGTCAACGGCAAGATCTACTTTTTTTAAAAAAAAAAAAAATTAACCTTCTAGTTTGAGTGACAACTTCCAAGTATCAGAAGTGTAAGAAATCAGCTCCTCTAGGATTACAATTGAAAAAGTATAAAAAATAACAGAATGAAGGTCATTATTACAAGTAAGTTCATAATTACATTATAAACAGACCTTCATACATTTTAATTATATAAAAATTGCTATTTATAAGTTTAGACAGAAGAAAAATTAAAGACAAAGAAATACAAGAATAAACATGTCCTGATTGTGCCAAAAAAATTAGTTTCTAGATCTCTGGTCAGCATTTAACACCCGGAGTCTGATGTTCTTAATGTAAAAATGCATCATTTCAAGAAGTAAGATATAAGTTCATAATTTCTCAGAAACCTTAATCTCAAACTTCATGAAGGTTCATTTCTTTCACTTCCTATCTTGACTTTATGTAAAGATGTATAAGGAAAAACTAGAAATAAGAAATATATGCCCTGGTTTTTGTTAAGCTTTGGTCTATTTAGAGGGTTTATTTTTCTGTTTGTTTGTTTTGTTTTGTTTTGTTTTTGAGACAGGGTCTCTCTATGTAGTCCTGGCTGCTCAGGAAGTGACTACATAGACCAGTCAGAAAATCTGGTGACAAGTCCCTCCTCTGACTATCAATGGCTTCTCAGATTAGCTCTGCCAGAGCATGCGCCCTGAAAGACTTTTAAAGCCCTTCCATATGGTGAACCCCTCTGGTATGAAGATGTCACAAAAATAATGGCATGGTAACACTGCCTTCTCTGGCACGGCTGCAAGTCTAAGTAGTCACAGAAAATCGTTTAGCTCGTTATTCTGCCATTAACACAATACAATGCAAGCATGTTTTGAAAAAGTCCATTTAAATAATCAGACAATTATCAAACCATTTGTTCTGTCCAGACCTCTGACTCACTTGGTTAAATGCTTGATGCACAAACATGAGGCCTGAGTCTGGATCCCCAGCAGTGAGGAAGAGACAGGTAGATTTGGTAGCACAGCCGGATCAGTGAGCTGTAGGCTTAGTGAGAGAATCTTTCTCAGAAACATAAGGCACAGAGTGACTAACTAATAAAGACATTAATACTGAACTCTGACCTCCACATTCCCATGCACATTCAGTGTACACACAAACACACATACAAACACACACGGGAGGGGTTAGCAAGTGAATTTGGGGAAGATAAATGCCACACAAAACATACAACTCAAAGGCTTAATACACAAAATGACCATCTAATAAACTAACCCTAGAGTAGATGTGTACCTAGAAAGCCACTAAACTGCAAGAAGCCTGCTCAGGACCACCATATATTCCTACGTAGATCAATAAGAAGGATGTGTATCACTGATGGTAACAGACTTAATAATAACCAGGACTGACATCAACTGTGTACACTTTTATTTGCAACTTACATAAATTTCATCACATAATTCAAGAATCATTCTTTCCAGGAATACTGTTTAAAAACATGATCTTCCTAGCACAAAGGTTAATGGCTCTTACCAGATGACATAAGAATGTTCAAGCTCTCTAGTTTCCCATACTGAGCAGCCACAAACAGGGGTGTGATTCCAAAGTCATCCTGGCATTCTCTGTCTGCTCCACTTTTAAGAAGCAGTTTTATAATCTCAGCATTTCCCTGAAGCACAGATACATATTTTATATTAAAAAATTTTTCTTGTTGTATTTTACTTTTCTTATCTTCTCAGTAAAGAAAAACTTTAAGAAAAAATGCAGTGCCTTGATAAAATGGATAGCAAAGACATGACTAATCAGATTACCCTACACTTCTGCACAGCCTGTTAAGTATAAACATACTAAAAACTGGTCTCTAGCAAGTTTAACCCTTAAAGTCGTATAAAGTTAGATTACTAACTCAAGCAGTAATAAACAAGCCTTCTAAACATGTAATTATAATAAAATATATCATTTTTCCTTATCCCACAGATTCCTATTACATCATAACTATGTGACCAACATTTTATTTATTTATTTACTTATTTACTAGTCCCTACAGACCAAAGCAGCTCTGGTCCTATAGCAGCTCACTTATTTAGAATGGTCATTAGTATTTAGACTGCCTTTTCTGTGCTGTACTAATCATTACAAACCACAGGCAAGTAAGAAGCAAGAACTGTATAGAACTGCCATTATAAAAGGGTAAGGTATACAATTTACATGGAAACGAAAAAATAAATTCAGAGGTTACCTGGAAAGAAGCCTGGTGCAAGGAATTCCATCCACACATAGAATGGAATCCATTGACATTTGCTCCATGTTGAAGCAACAGCTTCAGAACATCTATCTGTCCACTTTCAACAGCTGCAATACATCAATCAGAGAAATTACAGTCAGCAAAATGATATTTGTAGGACTTGGCAGTTTTACAATGTTCTAATCATTTTATATACATTAGATATATATGTATCTAATCATAATGCTATGACATTTGACCATTCCTAAACAATGCTATGACCATTCCTAAACATTTATCACAACTATCTCAGCCTGATTTCATATGCATAGGCCTTTCTGCATACTGGGCTAGGGAGATGGCTCTGTGAGGAATACCCTTGCTATGCAACTATGAAGTATGCAAGTCCCTAGAACACATGTATACCTGGGCTGTAATCCCAGCACTCCCACAGCTACAAGCGAAGCAGAGATGGGTGGATATACAGAAGCTGAGAAGGCAGCCCAGAGTATACAGGGGTGAACAACAAGAGACCCTGACTCAAACAAGGTGGGGACAACCGAGGTATTCCTCTGACCTCTACATTTGAAACACCCCCTACACCCTATATGCCCTACATGCACATATCTTTCATACATACATGTACACACATTCAGATTTAAAATAAACTATACCCACATATATTATTTTCAAACTACAGAAAATTGAAGGACAAAGAAAAAGAAGTCCAGGGTTGGGCAGATAGCTCAGGCACTTGATGAAGTACCTGCCATGGACATTTAAGGACTTAAATTTGATCCCCATAACATACTCTTAAAAGCTAGACATGGGGCTGGAAAGACGGCTCAGTGGTTAAGAGCACTAGCTGTTTTTTCAGAGGGCCCAAGATCAAATCTCAGAACCCAAAAGGTGGCTCACAACCATCTGTGGCTCTAGCCTCTTCTGGTTTCCTTAGACACTGAACACATGTGGTGCACAGACGAATGCACACCCAAACCTATAAGAAGGGGAGGGGGATAAAAAGACAAAAATCAAGACATGGTAGGCAGCACTTATAAACCCAGCATTGGAGAGCTAGAGGGAGGCAGATCCCTGAAATATACTTGAAACTGATTTCATTCACCCAAGTTTCAGATATACAACTAATATTTAAACATACTGTCTGCAATCAATGTCAATCATAATTGATTAGCTTAGAAACTAAATAACATGTTTATGGCAAAATACTTCATCAATTTAATCATTAAAGTAAGGCCGGAGAATTGTTTAATATTTATTGGACACATATAATTACTAAACTTGAATTGCATTATATCTATACATTTATACAAAGTTTGGGAACTAAACTGTCTTTTCCTCAACTATGTCCTTATACACACTTTTAAAACTTGAATGCAGTTCCATAATTCATGTGATTCTCAACAGTAAAAATGTGACAAGGAATACTATGAAATAAAACAAACTTCTTCTTATACTGGATTATTGCTAACCCATATGAGAAGTACACTACAGAACACTGTTCCAGAATCAGTCTATAAACAGAGAACAAACGTTGTGTGTGGTTTGAACAGGGATGGCCCCTAGAGAGCAGGGCTGTCCAGCTGAAAGTTCAGACACTCACCCCTTCTTCCAGGTCAAGTTCTATATGTACTCTATTCTCTATTATGTACTTAATTTTCTATACAATTCTACAGTAAAAAGGGTTTTTTTTTGTTATTTCAGTTTATGCCAAGCTTTTCTCACTACATCGTCTATGAAGCAGAAGTTATTTGTTATCTGCTGCAGCTTTCTCTGGTCCTGTGGTCACAATGACATCTGAGGGCACTGGGACAAAAACTACAACAATATTCTCCCTCCTTCTGCTCCTCATTTGGATCTTGAGGGTTCAGTCCAGTGCTCCAATGTGGGTCTCTGTCTCTATCCCCATCCATCGTCAGATGAAGGTTCCCTCTGATCCTGCCTTCCTTGCTCACGTTCTCCCTCCTTCTGCTTCTCATTTGGACCTAGGGAGTTAAGTCCTGTGCTCCAATGTGGGTCTCTGTCTCTATCTCCATCCATCGCCAGATGAAGGTTCATATTCCTCTTTTTGGGTCTGGGTTACCTCACTCAGCGTTTTCGATTTCCATCCATTTGCATGCAAAATTCAAGATGTCATTGTTTTTTACCGCTGAGTAAAACTCTAATGTGTATATGTTCCACACCTTCTTTAACCATTCTTCTATTGAGGGGCACCTAGGTTGTTTCCAAATATTACAAATAGTAATTTGTAGGCTATTACAAATAGTGCAGCTATGAACATAGTTGAACAAATGCTTTTGTAGTATGATAGGGCATCTCTTGGGTATATTTCAAAAAAAAAACTACAACAATAACAACTTTCCCTTTTCTACTGCTGTTCATTTAATCTGTGTATCCCCAAGTTGGTTTTGACTACAGACAAGTAAGACTTTGACTACTGCAAAGACAACAAAGTTGTTTAAGGACTATTCTGGTCCAAATGATTATTACCGATTAGTTGTGATTAATGTCCTTCCTCGTCACACACAAGTGGGAAGGACAGTGAATCTATCATTTCAAGACTGTCACTAGGAATACAGGATTGCCCGCTATTACTCCTCATTTCTTAACTTAAGTTTATAAACATGACTATAAAGTGGGACTTTCCCATTAAAAAAATGAAATTAAATCTCTCTCTCTCTCTCTCTCTCTCTCTCTCTCTCTCACACACACACACACACACACACATTCAGAAAGCTTTCTAAAATGTATCATGACCATTAATCTTTACCCTCAAATGTTCAATATTTTATTGACATTTAGAAGCTATAATTCTATCTTACAAGTTTCCTCATATATAGAGCCAGGTGTTGTGCACACATTTGATTACAGCAGTCAAGAAATACAGGCAGGGAAATCTCTTGAATTCTAGGCCAACCTGGTCTACATATCAAGTTCCAGTCCAGTCAAGGCTTCACAGTTTAAAACAACAAACTTCGTATGTGCCCAGTGGTTAACAATTGTAAACATAAATAACTGATGGGGAAAATCATGGCTTCGTAGTATAAGAAAAACGTCATGGTGACTATCCAAATACAGTTCTACATGTTATCACTGATATTTCTAATGGCCACTTAGATATCAGAGAAATCATATCCAGAAAAACACATCCTCCAGTCACATATAAGACAAAACCCTAAAATTCTACTATCCTTTTATGTACTAATTAACATTCCATCTATTTTCTCTGCACAAAGTTAAGAGAAACACTGTAATTTTTAAAATCTAATATCCGTAAGGGATGCTAGCTGAATGGTACAGAATGTACATAGCATGTGTGAGACCCTGGGGTCAATTACCACTACTAAAGAAAGAGTAAAACAGCAGTCCTAAACTTACACAATCTTATATGACATCTTCTCCAAAAGCTTTAACACTAGGTTCCATAACTTTTTACTATGACGCAAGTTTTTAATTCATATAACAGAATTCTCTTTTCAGGAATCAATTTTATAAGTACTGATCCACATTATGATTTATTGAAATAAATTATTCTGAGGATTCCTTAGCAAAGAAAATATGTACATACCATAAATTATCCTTAATTCCAAAGATTCCTGTTAGTGAAGGAGAAAAATTTTTCTTTTCTTTCAGCCATACCAGTCAGTAATAATAATATATAACTGACCAGTGGCAATAACAAGGAAGAATAAAGGATAATGGATTATGTAATCATCCAGTTTATAGTCACAACCACGCTACACAGCAGCTCTACTCACTGTCGCTCACTAGCTGCTGTTAATCTGCAAACTGTCATCAGCCCATACAAGATGAGACATTTACCAAGACAGAAAACAACTTTACCCCTAGTCATTATCTTTAGCTGGAATTTTTCCCAAGGTGAGACTTCAAGGATGAAGTAGTGTGATGGCTCCATTCTGGCTCAAGCGCCGTACAGGGATAGACTGACACTCTGAGTAGCATTCACTCACTGCTCCATGGCGTCTGTTGGGAGCCTAACTCCTAATTCCCAGCTGGTCTGATGACCTAGGACTGGTGTGTGAAGTCGGCCCAATGACGAAACTCTGATCACCTGTTTCACAAAAGTGGCCCTAGATAGCCTGAGCTGTTTTTACTTACACAGTTTCAATGGTTTGCCTGAACAGTTTTACCATCAATTTGTTTCCTTTTGTATCTAATAATGTTTACATTAATTGATAATGAAGCCAGGCGGTGGTGGCGCAAGCCTTTAATCCCAGCACTTAGAAGGCAGAGGCAAGCGGATCTCTGTAAATTTGAGGCCACCCTGGTCTACAAGAGCTAGTTTCCAGGACAGGCTCCAAAGCTACAGAGAAACCCTGTCTCGAGAACACCAAAAAAAAAAAAAAAATTTACATTAATTGCCAGTTTGTTCCCTTTCTTCATTTCCTTTCCATCCCCCCAACTTTCCCACTGATAATCATTACCTACTTGATTTGTAGCTTTAGTGTTAGAAGCATAAGCAGTATAGCAAATAACAAAGGAGGCTTTCTAACTTTGTACACCTACAGGTAGAACAGTGTGAGTAGTTGGCAGCATTTGCAGCTACAGCATCATGCAAAGTGAAATAGGGTTTTGCCTCTAATGGTTACCTCTGGTCAAATCTAAGTTCTCACAATCAACTCATCAGCCAAGCCTGAGTCAATCCATACACCATCTTTAAAAATTCTTACTAATGGGACAGGTAGTGGTGGCACATACCTTTAATCCCAGCACTTGGGAGGCAGAGGCAGGTGAATTCCTGTGAGTTCAAGGCCAGCCTGGTCTACAAGAGCTAGTTCCAGGACAGCTACGAGTGTTACACAGGGAAACCCTGTCTCGAAAAAGGAGAGAGAGAGAGAGATAGAGATAGAGATAGAGATATTACTATGCCCTGTAAAACTTTTAATCACCATAGATGGAGAAAATAAGAATTCCATGATAAAATCAAATCTAAATAATATCTACAAATCCAGCCATACAGAAAGTGTTATAAAGAAAACTCCAAAGTAAGGAAGTTAACTATACCTATGAAAACAAAGAAAATAATTACACACCATAAAATCAAAAAAAGGGGGAAATGCATGCACACATACTATCATCACCACCAATA